ACTTTCATTGGTTTAATATTTATTCCATATTCTTTTTGATTAATTCCTAATCGACATTATATTTTACGAAACTTTATCACTAATAAACTTCATAATGAATTTAAAATATTATTAGGTATTAATAGATTTAATGGATCAACTTTTATTTTTATTTCATTATTTACTTTTATTTTATTTAATAATTTTTTAGGATTATTCCCTTATATCTTTACTAGAACAAGTCATTTAACTATTTCATTATCAATTTCATTATCATTATGAATTAGATTTATATTATATGGATGAATTAATAATTATCAACATATATTTATTCATATAATTCCTCAAGGAACTCCAACTATTTTAATACCATTTATAGTATTAATTGAAACTATTAGTAATATTATTCGACCTGGGACTTTAGCTGTTCGTTTAACTGCTAATATAATTGCAGGACATTTATTATTAACTTTATTAAGAAGAACTAGTTCTAATTTATCATTTTTTATATTATTTATTTTAATTTTTGTACAAATTTTACTTTTAATTTTAGAATCCGCTGTTGCTATTATTCAATCTTATGTAATTTCTATTCTTAGAACTCTTTATTCTAGAGAAGTAAATTAATGACAATAAATCATAATCATCCATATCATTTAGTAGACTATAGACCATGACCATTAACTGGAGCTATTGGAGTAATAACTTTAGTTACTGGTATAATTAAATGATTTCATAATTTTAATTTAAACCTAATAATTGTAGGTTATATTATTATTATTTTAACTATATATCAATGATGACGAGATATTTGCCGTGAAGGAACTTTACAAGGTAAACATACTATTTTAGTTTCAAAAGGATTACGATGAGGAATAATCCTTTTTATTATTTCTGAAGTATTTTTTTTTTTATCTTTTTTTTTGAGCTTTTTTTCATAGAAGTTTATCCCCTAATATTGAAATTGGAGCAATATGACCCCCATTAAATATTACTCCATTTAACCCATTTCAAATTCCTTTATTAAATACTATTATTTTAATTAGATCAGGAGTAACAGTAACTTGAGCACATCATGCATTAATAGAAAATAATCATTCCCAAACTACACAAAGATTATTTATTACTATTATATTAGGAGTTTATTTTACTATTCTTCAAGCATATGAATATTTTGAAGCACCTTTTACTACTGCTGATAGTATTTATGGATCAACTTTTTTTATAGCAACAGAATTTCATGGACTACATGTAATTATTGGAACAATTTTTCTAATAACATGTTTTATCCGTCATTTAAATAATCATTTCTCAAATAAACATCATTTTGGATTTGAAGCAGCAGCATGATATTGACATTTTGTTGATGTAGTATGATTATTCCTTTATATCTTCTATTTATTGATGAGGAAATTAATTTATTTATATAATATATTTAGTATATTTGATTTCCAATCAAAAAGTTTAATTAATTTTTAATATAAATAATTATTTTATTATTAACTATATCAATTTTAATCATCATTATTTCTAATATTATAATAATACTATCCATAATTTTATCAAAAAAATCATATATAGATCGAGAAAAATGTTCCCCATTTGAATGTGGATTTGATCCCAAATCCTCAGCACGAATTCCATTTTCCTTACATTTTTTTCTAATTACAGTAATTTTTTTAATTTTTGATATTGAAATTGCCCTCCTTTTCCCAATTATTATATCATTTAATTTAGTCAATTTTATTATATTAATAAAAATTAGATTTTTTTTTTAATTATTTTACTATTAGGATTATATCATGAATGAAACCAAAATATACTTAATTGAACTAATTAAGGATTATAGTTTAAATAAAACATTTGATTTGCATTCAAAAAATATTGATTTATCAATTTATCTTAAATAAGAAGCAATAAATTGCATTTAATTTCGACTTAAAAGAATGAGTTATTCAACTCCTTATTTATTAATTGAAACCAAATAGAGGTATATCACTGTTAATGATACTATTGAATTAAAATATTCCAATTAAACCTGAAATATATTATAATTAAGCTGTTAACTTAATTCATAGTGATTAAAATCATTAATATTTCTTCTTCTTTCTCTTTTCTTCTTAAATTTTTATAATTTATATAGTTTAAAATAAAACATTACATTTTCATTGTAAAAATAAAAAAATTTTTTTATAAATATTTAAAGATTATATAATCTCCTTAATATCTTAAATATTACGCTCTATATATAAGCTATTTAAATTTTAAATTAATAATATAAAATAAAAAATTATTATTCATAAAATAAATCTAAATAAATAAATTTTAAAATTATTTATTTGATATAAATAATAAAAAATTGAATAATTTTTAATAATTTTAAACATGCCTTGACCTCTATATAATTCTATTCAACCTATATCAATATTTTTTATTAAATTTTGACTATAATTTAAAACATAAAAATTAAATCCATATGTAGATAAATTTGGTATAAATCATATTAAAGATAAAAAATTTCTTAAATTATAAGTTATTAAAAACTTATTTAATGAATAAATTTTTATATTTCTAATTAAATAACCTATAAATAAACCTATTAATCTAACATAAATAACTATTATTTTCATATTAAAAGATAAGTAAATTATATAAGGATAATTAAAAATTATTCATATTAAAAATCTTCCAGTAACTAAACTTATAAATAACAATAAAAATATACTTTTTAATATAACATAATCTTCGTCATATAAATTATAAATAGAAAATAAATTATAATCATTAATTATTAAATATATTAATAAACGAATTGTATAAAATATTGTTAAACCTGTAGAAAAATAATATAAAAAAAAATTAACATATTTAAATTTCTCATTCTTACTATTTCTAAAATTAAATCCTTAGAATAAAATCCAGCTAAAAAAAGGAATTCCACATAAAGCTAAATTAGAAATATTTATACATAAAGAAGTTATAGGAATATATAAACTAATTCCCCCTATATAACGAATATCTTGATTATCATTTATTATATGAATAATTACTCCAGCACATATAAATAATAAAGCTTTAAATATAGCATGAGTTAATAAATGAAAAAAAGCTAATTCTGGTAATCCCATTCTTAAAATTCTTATTATTAAACCTAATTGTCTTAAAGTAGATAATGCAATAATTTTTTTCAAATCAAATTCATAATTAGCAGAAATTCCAGCTATAAATATTGTTAATCCAGATAATAATAATAATAATTTTAAAAAAATATATCAATTAATAATATATTAAATCGAATTAATAAATAAACTCCAGCAGTTACTAATGTAGAAGAATGCACTTAAGCTGAAACAGGTGTAGGAGCTGCTATAGCAGCAGGTAATCAAGAATATATCGACCTCTCGATATTATATTCTTGATTACCTGCTGCTATAGCTCGACCGGGGGAAGGACCATGCCCTCACGGAATAGTAGCGTAATAGAACAGCTTACAGATTAATGGGGATTAAAATTATAAAAAAATATTCCTCCTACTACTGAAATGATAAAAACGAGGTAAGCGGCAGCTACGATTCACCCTTCTAAGTTCATGATAAGAATATCAATGTCATAAGGAAGTGGCAGCCTTATACCGCTAGACGAATTGGGGCAGCTTCTTACTACATGGAATGACAACATGATAAGACATGCAGGAAGGCGATGGATGCAGGTGGCTCAGGACCTTGTTTTATGACATTCCTTGGGGAAGGCCTACTTTCAAGAGTGGACATGTGAAGGGTTTAAATGGTGATGACGATGATGATGCAAGCAACAAGAATAAATCCACCAACGATATCATCTTCAATCACAGAAGAAGAAAGTTCAAAAAAATAACCTAAAATTAGTAGCCCAAATACATGGTCAAAAACAAGCTTTTAATTTGATGATGAAATCCTTTAATCAATAATACCTTACAGAAGTCCATGTTGTGCTGATGATTTGGTCAATTTTTACTTTCTCTTATTGCTTAGTAGTATTTAAAAAGAAAGTTGTAATTAATATTTCTGAACGGATAATATTTATTTGTATCCTATAATCCACTAACAAATCAACCAATAATTTGATATTGATAACGATAAATAAGTCAATGAAACTTAATAGCTATTAACTAATTATCTCTACTTTGGTAGATACAGGATATAGTTAATTATTCTTAGTGATATACATTTATATTGTTAATGGTAGAGCCATGCTGCAGTTAAATTATGGTTGACTTTGGCACAACACTCATAACCACTAGTAGTAAGGCTCTAGCGGGGAAGGACCAAGCTCTCTCAGAATACTATTGTGAATTAGCAGCTTTGCTTTTGCTGAGTATAGAAAACTGGAGACACTTTTTTCTGGAAACTAGGCATTCCATCTTAGTCCACATGAGTCGACAATATTATATATATATATATATATATATATATATATATATATATATATATATATATATATATATATATTTAATTGATGGAGGTGTAGAGATCTATGAGTCACAGAACCAACTTACCATCAGGTAGGATTTGTGCTCGTTTGTCATCAATAAACAATAAAACATCATAATAATTGATGTGCATAATCAAACTGGCCACGTGGGCAATGTCAAAACTGTCACATGTCTTTCATAAGACACTTCGATTGCCAATCTACCTCGTGTGGTTATTATAATCAATACGTTCTGCGTTTAACAAGATCTATCTCCAACAGTGGATAATTATAGGCTTTCAAAGATCTGTTGTACTATCAGCATAGTACATACATTAATTACGCGAACGCAACGCGAACGGACGTGTTTTATTGGACGGGCGAAATAAGTTGGAAATACAAATCAGGGAAGTCACCCTGAATGAGTATAAACCTAGAGGGATAGTTGGGAAACACCGATTCTAAGCTACGGGATAATGGATAAAACAGCAACATCCACGGATTACGTCAACACCGAGCGCGGTAGCCGAAACCCAAATGTCTCATACAAGGTTGTTAAAGAAGACAGGATTATGGAAGTGATTGGGGAGCTTCGCTTAGAAATGAAAGCTCTCATGGAAAATCAGCTTAAGGAATATGAGATACTAAGAAATAGATTTATAAATACTGAGACAGAATTAAAAGAATTAAGAAAAGAAATGAAGGTACTTCAAGAAAAAGTAGATAAAGTACAAATATTGGAAGCGAAAGTAGATAGTATAGTAAGAAATGATGAAAAATTAGTGAGCAATATGATTAGGGTAAGTCCAACAACTGATAAAAATGAGGAAGCTTATTTACAAAAAGGAACTCCTCAATCATTTGCAGCGGCAGCGAACCGAAACCAAAACCGGGTACTTAAAAATAAGTTCCCAACGAAGCAAGCGAGTGTGGCCACGAAACCATCAGACAAATCGACTTCCGTAATTAGCTCAATTGTGAAGGAGATACCCGAACCAAAGCAAGTAAGAAATAATTCTGAGCAAATAACCGAAACTGAGGATATAGAATCTCAAAAGGAAGGAAACTGGATAATAGTAAATAAAAAGAAGAAAAGCAGATACCCTAATACTGAGGTAAAAAAAGGCGGAAGCACGAGTGCAGTAGAAATCAAGGGGACTGAACGGAAGAAATTTTTACATGTGTGGCGTCTCCATAAAGAAACCACGGTTGAAAACTTAGAAAAATACGTGAAGAATATATGCGGAGAGGAAGTACCAGTCACAGTGGAAAGAATCAGGCATAAGACGGAAAGGGATTATTCTTCCTTTATTATTGGTGTACCTGAAAGCAGTTATGACATTTTATATCAATCGGACAATTGGGCTGTAAACATCGAATTCAGTGAATGGGTATGGTTTCGTAGAACAACCAAAAAAACACTCAATAAATAGCACAGCTATTGAAATTTACTACCAAAACGTGAGAGGTTTACGTACGAAATTAGAGGACTTTTATGTAGGCGTCTCATCTTCAGGAGCAGATCTATTTGCCATTACTGAGACAGGTTGTAACAAATCCATTCACGACGCAGAACTTGTTCCGCCGGGATACACAATAATTCGCTGCGACCGCGCGGATGGAAGAAAGCAAGGAGGCGCGTGTCTCGTGGCCACACCGCGTTTAGAGCTGCGGCGAGTGGCGAGTCCGAGTGACGTCAACATCGATGACGAAGTGTTTGAACTGATCAGTGCGACCGTCTACCTGCATAACAGACTTTTATTTCTATTGTGCGTTGTTTACATTCCGCCGAATAGTTGTGAGAATGATTATATGATACTGTTTAGAATAATAGAACAACTGTGTAGTAAATATAGTGATATCGTTGTGATTGGTGACTTCAATATGCATTCCTGTTCTATAAACGTATGTAATTATTTTCAATATTTTTTATCTTACTGTAGATTTACTCAGTGTAACACGATTGTTAATTGTAATGATCGGTGTTTAGATTTAGTGTTAAGTACGCTTACAAAGGGAGAGAGTGTGAATGTGCGCGAGGCAGGGGCGCCTCTCGTACCTGTGGATGCATACCACCCGCCACTGGATGTGTTGGTGAAACTGTGGCCGCGCCGAGTCGCAGGTTCATTCCAGTGCGAATCGAGTACTGTTTCCCCAGGTTGGAATTTCAATAAAGCTGATTTCGCTTCAATGTACGCGTCAATAGGAACTATAGACTGGACTGATATTTATAACCTTGATTTAGAAATGAGTTTAGATTACTTTTATGAAACAGTCAATTCCAAAATAGATGACTGTGTTCCCAGAAAACAGCGATGTCGGGTAAGCTCGAAGTATGTTTACCCCGAGTTTTACACTATTGAAATAATTCGCAACATACGACGTAAGGCTATTCTCCACAAGCTGTATAAGGCAAGTAGGACCAAGAATGATTACGAAGCGTTCGCCCTGTGTAGGAGTAAAGTAAAACGATTAATAAAACTAGCACAAGAGCAACATACTAGCAGGGTTCAAAGTCAGCTACAAAAAGATCCACAATCCTTCTGGAATTACGTGAACTCCAGAAAAGGTAGTCGAAATACACAAAAGATATTAAAGAACGGGGCAGTGTTGTCTGATGAACAATGTGTGAAAGAGTTCGCCCAGTACTTTCACTCGGTGTATAGTACGATACGACCCGAGTTGAACGTTAATACTGCGATAGAAGGAGCGGGCGATGAGAATGGTGTAGCGCGGGTTCATCTAGATAACTTACAGTTGGGGGATGTGCGGAGTGCGCTTAAACAGCTTAAGCCGAAGAGGTCCGCAGGTCCGGATGGCATTCCGGCGTACATTCTCAAAGACTGTGGATCTGTGCTGGCTGAGCCGTTACTCCATATCTTCAATAGATGTCTGAGCGCGGCTGTGTTTCCCAAGAGATGGAAAACTACTCGTGTCGTACCGATACAGAAAGGAGGAATAGGCAACGACAATGTTAGTGGGTACAGACCCATTGCGGTACTGTCGTCACCGGCTAAAGTGTTAGAGTGTGCTATTCATAACAGCCTTTTTATGCAGGTGAAAGCACAACTTTCAGATGCCCAACACGGGTTTCGACCAATGAGGAGCACTACCAGCAACTTGCTCAGTTACATGGCTCACTTGCTGCCGACAGTGGATAGTGGAGGGCAGACTGACGCTGCTTACTTCGACTACAAAAAAGCATTTGACCTAGTCGATAATGACGTGTTGCTCAAGAAGTTAGCAGCTGTTGGTTTCACACCACATCTACTTAATTTTTTTGCCAGTTATATGAGGGATAGGCAGCAGTACGTAGAATACGCGGGACACAGATCGGAGCCGTATTTTACGTGGTCTGGTGTAAGTCAGGGAAGTAATCTCGGTCCTCTGCAATTTATAATCATGATGAACGATTTGCCCAAAGTCGTTAAAGAGGCAAATTGTTTAATGTTTGCAGATGACCTTAAGTTATCTCTGACTGTGAAGGAAGAAAGTGACTGTGGACGGTTACAGAATGCCATTAATAGTGTAGCTAATTGGAGCAAGGAGAATCTTTTACAGTTCAACATCAAAAAATGTGCTACAATCACGTTTTCACGTGCACATAGGCCTATTGTACATAGTTACAACATTGATGGAATGCCAATGGTCCGGGTCACAGAAGTTAAGGATTTAGGAGTTACTCTCAACGCGGGGCTAACGTTTCGTGATCACATTACTAAGTGCTGTAAAAAGGCTTACAGAAATTTAGGGTTCCTTTTACGAACTGTTCGTACTTTCACAAATGTAGCAGCCATTATCGCCTTATACAACGCTTTAGTGAGAAGCCAATTGGAATGCAACGCAGTCATCTGGCTCCGCATGAGACTAAATATAGTCTCATGTTGGAGCGGATACAAAACAAATTTACTAGGTTTTTATATTTTAGGCTATATGGAGTGTATCCTTTTTATCCTATTATGTATCCAACTTTGTTTGTGTTGGGCATGGTGGGATACAACGAACTACGAGTCAGGCGGGAGCTCACGCTTGTGTCATATTTATTTAAGTTAATTAGGGGTAAGGTACATCACGCAGATATATTATGTTTACTGTGTTTGTGTGTGCCGGACAGATATGTGTGGCGACGACGTCGGCCTCACCTGCTGGCCGTACCTCGTGGTCGCACTAATTTATTGAACGAGGCGCCGCTGACACGGGCACTTCGCACTCTCAACCTTGTAGCAGAGGAGACAGATATTTTTATTTGTACGCCAAATGAGTTCACAAGGATAGCATTATATGTTATTTGTTATAAGTAGGTATTTGTTATAAGTATATATATGTGTACTGATGTGTGCTTCACTATCGAATTAGGTAGTAACCTGTAATGATAGTTGTAAGTTGTGTTTTAAACAAATAAATAAATAAATAAATAAAATTAACGGACAGAATTTGGGTCACGGCGGTGGCCAGTCTTATCGCAAACTTGGCATCTGCATTTTGATTCTTAATCGAATTAACACCAGTTGAACTGTGAGCTTGTTTGTCATGTTCATTTTATGGAAATAATTCTTTCCTGAATAGATTTTCCATATAAAATTAGTGACAAATGAACACAGTATCCAAGTGATGATGAGTCGATGATGTGGCCCGTATACATCTCCATTTATGCTAAATTAAGAATTAAAACGCAGACGCGTCATCCTTCAAGACAAAAATGCCTTGATTAAAGTAAAAAAGGGCTTTAATTCTCTATATTCACTATACAAAACACAGCAGCAACGTGTAGTTGCTATTTTTCGCTGGTATTCTGTGAGAGCCTGGCCCTACCCCGGTCGAGCCGACACAATCATGCTACAACAATAATATGGCTGCAGCGTGGCTCTACCACGTATTTTATTACATGTTTATTGAATACCAGCGTGAAATAGTAGCTTAATGCTGCTGTATTTCGTATGGTGAGTGTAGAGAACCGGAGACCCTTTTTACTGGAAACGAGGCATTCCATCTCAGTCCTCACGGGTGACAACGCATCCGCATTTTGATTTTTTAATGGAGGATAGATGTAGATGTCTATGGGCCGTAGCAACCACTTACCATCAGGTGGACTGTGTGCTCGTTTGTCACCCTATTCTATAAAAAAATTTGTGTGTACGCAAGCAAGAGAACATTTTCTATTCCCTCACTCTTTTAGTCTGATGGGACTACAATCTGACACAACGAAAGAGGGAACAGGCGCAGGACCAATGTATTTTGCGTGCTTTCCGAGGCACGGGCGTCAAACTCAGAGAATTTCTTTTGAGATAGACAGAACAATATTTCTCTAATAATTCAATGAAATGTAACTCACCTAACACATATGAAAGAAAATTACCAAACCTAATAGCTGTATTAATATATGCTAATTACTTTACTTTGAAGTACAGAATTAACAGAATTGCCTCGGCGACATGATAATATTTTATTTATGTTAGTTAGCTGGAAGGTAATATCACACCCGTACTTACAATGTCTACCACTAACTTACACTAATTAAAAATTAATAAGTAATAACCTAACTAACACGAGTAAAATGTGGTATTATCAAATGACAATTATAATTTTACATCAAAGATGAACATCAAGGAGTCATTTTTCATTATATTTAACAAACTAATTATTTTGAATGAAACAAAAAAGTCCATAAGCTCCAGCTTCGGAGACAAAGTCATTAAAATTTCAATAGACGAATCAATAGAATTGATAAAATATCCTATAGAAGTAAGATTTAGTTTAATTCGTATATTATTTCGTTGTAATCTCTATTGACTTTATTTGACTCTATTTTTTTAAATGTTTCGTCCTAAATGTATTAGAAAACAAAAGCCATTGTGAAAAGGCAATAACATTTAATTAATAACAACCCAAGCAGCATGCAAGCTGTATACGAGCTGTATTAAAGTTCCTTTTTATACTAGAGGCTGCATTTTCTGGCTGTACAGAGGCTATATAAGCGCTTATGCGGTTCTTATAAGTAAAAAGTTGGCACAAATTATACAGATTTATGCGTTAGTAGCGCTATACAGTAGCTGTACAAGTATAAAAGAGGCTGTGTAATAGCAGTTATTTGATATACAAGGAAACTATTTCACTACAGATATTACCTTATAAGTATCTTTTAAAGATAAATGTTCTAAATTAGGGTTTGAACGGACTCACAAATTAATTTTTGACGAAAAGAACTTATTAGATTTATTTATATACTTTACATCAGACATTTAGTGAGTGAAATACTATATTACAAATTAACATTCCTCGGATTGGAGTTGAGTTTTGACGGTGATAATTGGTGAAAGTGCGAAATTAGATTTACAGTAAATTTCTATATGATTTCTATCAAAAAATTGCCGCACCAGCAAAATAACGTAATATGTAATATAATGACTAAATACTAAATACGGTTAGTAAATATTGGTTGTATAGGTTAGAATAAAAAATAATTCAATTAGTAAACATGAATGCACATTGGGGCACAGTGATCACTAGTTAAACTGAAAATAATGGTACTGGCTAAATCTAATGTCTCATATTCTTAAATTTACAAATTAAATTTTGTTTTTATAGGTTTAAGAATAGCGACAGTTCGCTAAACAGCCTAAACGATATTTCGAGGGTCTTACAGTCTTAGTAGCTGCACTATGTATGTTATGGATTCTATCGTACAGCCATTAGTATTTAATTAGTTGTATAATATAATATTTTTATTATTTACGATCTATAGCAGATTTTAAAACATCATATATAATTGTATTTAAAGATACGTATAACAGATAAAAACCTTTATCTTAGGTTCAACAATTTTTACCCTTCTTCATGTTATCTCTATTATTTTAAGTCTACTAATATTTTAAGATTTACCCGCATTTTATTAGTTTTATTGTTTTCTTTTATGGACAGAAAAGTGTTTCTCTTCTTTCACTTCGTTTAAGACGAAGACTATATAAAGCCAGACAACCAAAGTTAATAAATTAATAAAGAAATATATTTTCATTTTTGTACCTTTCTTAATCCATCGATTTAATCGAAATTATTGTATTAATTGGCAATAAATTTACTACCCCTTTTATTTAGTTGAATTCACAAACCAAAACTTAATTTTGTGTCTTTTGTAGGAAAAAAATGACTATGATATAGCAAATAAAGATTGCCTATACATGTTTCGAAAGTAAAAAGTAGAGTAAAGAATTGAAACTATCTCTTTCTTTGACAAGCAATATTATAAAAGGTATATTTTATGACAGAATATTTTATCTAGAACAACGTACGACGAGTGTACTGTCTATTTTATTATTGTGACAAGCGCGTACATTCATACATTCGCTCTCATCGTCATACTCGTGCGTCACGTAGGTACAGCAAAACCAAAAGAGTTAACTAATTTATTTGATACCTAAGTAAATTTATTGCAAAGTGTTATTACTATGTTGTGTATCTTAAACTTCTTTTATTTTACTTTTTAAGAAAATATGCCATTTGACATTGTGGAAACCATAGAGAAGGGGAAAAATTACCTTTTCGTTAAAACCAAGTTTGTACGATAAGATGCTAACAAATTAGTCAAGAATGAAAATTGTATAGCTGTTAGACAGTTGGACCATATCAAACTGTCGTATGAAAGGGCTATCAAGATCGTCATTTGAAGTAGCAGAAAGAGAACTAGCTAGTATGCTTAACAGAAGCGACACCTAAATTATGATGAGAGAAAAAGACAAAACACTACAGTTTCAAATAACACCAACTATGAAAACAATGTTTAATATTTTTGCTACGGAACCCTTCTTGTTAGACGTCAATGGGATTGACGTTTGACTGTAGATTGTGTGATTTATTAAAGTATTTCTATATTCTTCAGTATCATTTTTATTTCATTTATAACTTGTAATAATAAAATATTTCTTTTTAATCCTTCATCTAACTATATCAAATATTTTTCTTTTTTTCCTCATATTGATAATAAATTAATTTTTCATTTAATCACTAGCACAATATATTAAACAAGAAATTACGCATGCAAAATGGTGATATTCTGTCATTGTTAATCTGTATTATAGCTGTCTTTTTTTAGTTTTATATCACTCTCATAGACAGAAGGCATAAAACTAAATAAGTTTTAGAAGGTTGTTTGCATACCATATTATTCAGAAATAATGTTTGTATGATACTATAATAACACTTAGAGCTGTACAAAATAACAGCTTCTACACAGCTTTAATCATAAAATCAGATTAAAGTGTTACAAAATACTTAAAGTTTTATGGTAGAGTTTTCGTATTCCGATAAAGAACGCTAAGCTTACGTAGATCAAATAATATAGATTTTATACAGCTTGAGCTGTAAAATAACTCATAAACCACTCTTATAAGGATACGCCTCTAACAGAACTATAAGTTCTATTTGAGCTGGTTTATAGGAGACGGGGCAAACAAGCATGAACAACTGCAACACCAGGGGAATCGCAGGTGCGTTGCCATCCTTTTAGAAAGGAGTAATATGTTTCACAGTACTCGAGCAACCCGTGTTCAATGCCCGCCGGCACCAATGAAATTGTTAAATGCAATATTAAGTTCTAATTTACTACGTGCTTGGTGGTGAAGAAAAACAACGTGATGAAACCTGCATGTTTAACAAATTTAAAAAATTGTACACACATGCAACCTTGTATAATAGTAAGAGACAGAGAGAAAGATAAAGAGAGGAAAAGGTTACCTACGTGCACCCTACGCAGGCGCATTAGGGCAACGCAGCGGATATTTATTTGCACTGCAACCCTTTCAGAAATAAGAGGAGGCAAATCCCATCAAAAGACACACTCAAGCACATCAAAGGAACGTATATATGACTTTCCTTTACTTTTTAAATTGAATTATATACTCGGAGTTAATGCCATAAGGCATAAGGCATTGTATGTAGTACTTTGTGCATGAAAGTGTAAATAAATAAATAAAAAGAAACATGAATTCCATAACTACTACATAGTACACACTACTACACATAGTAGGGGATAACCATGCTTGTTTTTATTTTAAGTTGTTATTAGCAAGACGCTACTCATATAGTATTATTTGTTAATGACACTTTATTAATTTTAAAATTAAAACGACAGTTACTAAATTATGACGAAGTAAATAATGCTATATCTGAATTAGTTAACCGATTTAATGTTAATTACATGCATTTAAATGGCACTTAAACTAAATGTATAAAATTCAAACCTCCGAATGTTAAACATGTTAGTATTTATGTAATTTTAAATGGGGAGGAGCTTAGTCGTATTAATACCTTCATTTTTTTTAGAACCACACGACGCAAAGCTTCAATGGGGCCCCCATATAATTATCAAGTAGCAAGTAACAATTAGCAAGTAGACTTAGTTCTTCAGCATATATTGTAGAAAAATTAGAACCGGTGCTTAAACAGCTAGACTAGTTTACTTTAGTTATTTTCATAGCATAAAGTCATACGGTAATTAGCTATTCGGGCACGCGACTGACACTGAAATTATATTTTTTTATAGGTGAGGGCTATCAGAGCAATCTATGGTTTAAAAACTAAAGAGTCGCTGAGACAAAAATTCAAAGAAATTAATATATTTACTTTGGCCTCTCAATACATTTATGAAAATGTAGTGTACGTACACAAAAATAAACGTAGTTTTACGAAAATAAATGATATTCATTCTGTAAATACTAGGAACAGACACAAGCTAGTAGTACCTGTTATTCGACTCTACCCACTTATAAATTTATTCTTGGCGCGATGTGTACGCTTTTACAACAAAATCTCAGAAATATACCAAATTTGACCTGCACTAAGTTTAAAAACTTTATTAAACAAATTTGTATAAAAAGGGTTATTGTAATATTAAGGAATTTATGATCCCGCTGGGTTTCTTCATGGTTATTTCCAGGTAAGAGGTTCCTTTCTTAACTAGTGATAAATTAAAAAAGTCACTTTAAAAAGTATTATTTATAATATTTTTACGAGCTCATGGTTCGTGACAATAAAAATTGCCGATAGAATTACCTAAATTAACTCTTTAATTCACTTTACACTAATAATTAATCACACTGGTTCCGCTCCGAAGCTTCGCTTATCTCGCCAAATTCAATACTTCCCCCGATCGCACCCTGCAGTGCCTATAAATATATATATATATATATATATATATATATATATATATATATATATATATATATATATATATCCGAAACATCCAGAACATTCAAGTAAATACGCGCAAGGCGTCGAAAGTTCGAGTGTCGGCTTCTAGAAGCTTAGTTCTTCGTTTCGACACCAGATGGCGCTGTCGGTTGAAAGATTAGTGATGTCATTTTCTGGAAAGCTCCCCCCGCTCTCGTCCCTGACACTACATGACGTCAACTAAGGCGCGCAACACTGCCCCCTCCTAATACATTCTCGTCCCGAGCATTATCGGCCCTATAATAACGCGCCAAGCAAACCACATGGACGATCTTAGGAGTCCCTCTTGCGCCTTTCTGTATCCGGTAGGTTACATCGTTGATCCTGGTTACAATCCGGTACGGGCCGTCCCATTTAGCTTGAAGCTTAGGAGATTTCCCTTTGCTGCGGACTGGATTGTGCAACCACACTAGTGAATTTTCGTCGAACCCTTTATTGTTCATTTTGCGGTCATACCGGGTTTTCATCTTCTCAGATATTTGCTGGCCGGTTTGTCTGACTTTCTCATAAATGTCTTTCATTTTATTCCGCAAGTCATTTGCATAATCGGTTATACTGCGTGGGGCATCAGGTGGTATCCCGGTGATCAGGTCTGCAGGCAGCCGTAATTCTCTTCCAAAGTTTGCGAAAGCTGGTGTCACTGCTGTACTTTCGTGAACAGCGCTTCTATATGACAACAAAAACAGTTGTATGTGCTTGTCTCAATCTCGTTGCCGATTGTCTACAACTTTTGCTAGGTACCTCTCCAATGTCTGATTAAATCGTTCTACCATTCCATCAGATTGCGGGTGATAAGAAGTCGTTCTTGTTTTATGAGTACCCACAACTCGGCAACTTTCCTGGAATATTTGAGACTCAAAATTTCTTCCTTGATCGCTGTAAATCTCTAAAGGTACTCCAAAACGACAGAAGACTTCATGAACTAGTTTATCTGCAACTGTTGAAGCTTCTTGATTTGGAATGGCGAAGACTTCTGGCCACTTAGTGAAGTAATCCATGACAACCATGAAATATTTGTTACCTCTTTCACTCTCCGGAAACGGCCCCGCCACGTCAATGGCTATTCTCTCCCATGGTGCACCAACATTGTACAACTTCAACGCACCTCTACTACGAGTCTGAGGTCCCTTTACAGCCGCACAACTTGTACATTTGCGACACCAGTCCTCGACGTCGTTTCGACATTGGACCCAGTAAAACCGTTCTCGGATCTTCAGTAGAGTTCGTTTAACTTCCAGATGGCCTACTGAACAATCATTATGGTACAGCTGTAGAACATCCGGTACTTTAGCTTTAGGGATAGCCATTTGCAAATGACAGCTGTCTCCCCGAACACTTTCTTATTTACGGCATAGAACTCCATCCTGAAGCAGCAAGCTGTCCTACTGGGCCGTATAGCTTTTAGTGGTCGAACTCATCGCTGAGACGTCGCTCCACTTGGGCTTGGGAGCACTGGCCTTCATCCATTCCAGAATGGGCTTGATGTCCGGATTTTCCTGCTGTGCACGTTGTAAGCGGTTCTTCCACTCTGAGTTGGTCTGCCCTGAGCATCCTCACGGATACCACTTCCTTACTCTCTTGCCTAGTACAATGTTTCCAATCTTCAGGACAAGGTCTTCTTGACAATGCATCTGCGTTGCCATGAGATTTCCCGCTGTGATGTCTGATAGTAAAGTCGTATCCCGGATGCTGCTGGGCGATGATGTTAGCCGCACTTCGCTTCTGAGATCATTCACCTTCCCCTTTCTAGGGTTCGCTTAGGGCAGCTGGATCGAAGATGGCCCCTTTCCCCACAGCCATAGCACCTAGGGCTGAATCCTTTGTTGGGATCGCGAACTGTAACTGCTGCAACCTGACCGCCCTGACCTCCCTGACGCGATGGGAACGATGATCCTGCCGCACGGCTTCCACCTCCAGTGCATGGGCCAAGGCGTCCCTAAGCGTTTCGTGGTGCTCCAGCCTCACAGCAGCTCTGACTTCCAGGTCGCGGATGCTTTCGATGAATGTCTGCACCAGGTTCCCTTCAATGAGCGCAGGCACAGAACGGTATGCTTTTCGCACCAGCTTCTCTACCTCTAGAGCCCACTGCTGCAGGTTTTCGTTGATGCGCTGCACGCGATCTTTAAGCTGCGCATGAAAGACGTGTTCCAGGTGAGCGTCACCATATCTCGCCTCCAATGCCTCAAGGAGTTGCTCATAAGTCACTTCCTCACCGAGAGCTTCCAGAACTGTTAAGGCCTGGTCGCGCAGGCCTAGTGTGAGAGCAGTCATTGCCTGACTTTTATTCCAGCCGTTCGCCTTCATAACAGCCTCGAACTGGATTTTGTAGGCTGACCAGGAAGAAGTGCCGTCGAACGGCGGCACCTTGAACCCACGTAGCGAAGGTGTAGTAGCTACTACGGGAGCTGTAGTTCCATTCCCAAGTTTGAGTTCGTCCAGTGATTTCTTCATGTCAGCCATTACCTTGTCAACCCGATTGTTCACTTGGT